GAATTCGATTGAGATGATATTCATGGACGAACATGTAAGAATTGTACTCTTATTTGTATTTTGCATACAATATAAAATTTATGTTTAATAGGATTTCTTATAATTTTTTAGTGGCTAGAAGGTTATTTTGCTTTTACTTTCAAAACACAATTATACTAATCTGTATAAAAAACCAAAATTCTTCAATTGCCCATATTGAATAAATAAATGAAGAATGATAAGTCTGATGTTCTAAAAGTATAATGAGTCTGCTTTCCTTGAAGCTTCTATTTTCAGCACCATAAAAAATAATTTTTTTTATTAAAGTACTGAAGAGTTGAGCCTGTCCTTATTTTCAGATTTATAGTCTGCTGTTTTTGAACATATTTTATGGTATGTTCTGATTCTAAGTATTAAAAAACAAAACATACTATAGTCTGTTTAGTTTTTTTAGTGCCTATCCATGTTGAAGTTTCTCCAGTGCCTAAAACCATGAGACTAATTTTTTTTAAATAGTGCCTAAGAAGGAATTCTTATAATTTATGTAATAATAACTCTGCCGTTCTTAAAGTGTAATAAGTCTGCTGTCCTTGAATCTTCTATTTTCAGCACCATAAAAAACATAATTTTTTATTAAAGTATTGACGACTTGAGTCTGTCCTTATTTTTAAGACCTTAATTTCAGATTTATAGCCTCATGTTTTTTAACATATTTTATGGTGTGGAGTTTAATTTTTATAGTCTCTTGAAGTTTCTCCAGTCCTTAAGTATTGAAAAAACAAATCACACTATAGTTTGTTTACTTTTTATAACTAATACCTGAAATGATAAGAAATATAAATACAAATAACCACCCAAATCAATATCAACACACAATAAGAATTCAAGAGTCATTGATGTGTAGATTGACGGTCTGCTCTGTGATTTTAAGGCCAACAAATCTCCTATGGATCTCGACCTTTTTGTTCTCCACTTCTCCTCATCATCTCCTCAAGTTGTTTTTTTATATCCTCTTTCTTATCTTTATATAAATAAATGTTTTTTATTAAAGTATTGAAGCTTTTCCATAAATAAACGTTGAAGCTTCTTTTTTCATCTCAATGAATAAATGATTTATTGATAAAGTTATTGAACACTTCAACCTGTCCTTATTTTCAGATTTATAGTCTGCTGTTTTTTTATCATGTTTTTTGGTGTTCATTATTTTTTATAGTCCTTGAAGATTCTGCCTAAGACTTCAAGATTATGAAATCCCCATAACTATTCATGTTTCCTTGATATTTTGTAGGAAACTACTATCCATGCCACTGTAAGAAAAACTCTTGTGGGAACTTTTGAGAAGAAAATACAGGAAGGATCAGTATATGTATTTGCTTACTTCGGCGTCGGCAATAGCAGTGGATATTATCGCACTTCACGATATGACTTTCGCCTAAATTTCCAAGCAAGGACGACTGTCACTGAAACCAAGACTACCTCTAAAGTTACAGAGAAGACAATTTCCAATAGTCTTATGTTTTGCTATGACTATTAAAAAAAGTCATGGTCAAACATTGTCATTTGTTGGATTATTTTTAACCAAGTCAGTGTTCACTCATGGTCAGCTTTATGTTGCTGTTTCGCGAGTGAAGACAAAGACAGGATTAAAAATATTAATCTTAGATGACAATGGAAATCCTTGCAGTCATACAAAAAATGTTGTATACCCTGAAATCTTTCAAAAAATTTGGTATTAAAACAAACTTTGTTGTGTGTAGATTTAATTCCTCAAATATTATTCTTTTTACTTTGCCTTTCTTTTCTGTGTTATTATAAATCATGCATGAGGTATATTTCCTTTATTCCGGAAAAAAATATTGCATTGAATAAATTCAGAATCGACAAGATATTCGTAACCCGTGCATTGCACGGGTAGGAATATACTATACTAGTATATATATGTAAAATTGGGTTTATCTCTTGGAGTGTTGACATGTGGCATGCCACATGTGCATCCACATGTGCATTGAGATGGATGAATTTCATTGGTCTATTTAATTTTTTAAAAAGATCTTTTAACACATTTTATTATATTTTATTACATTAAATAAATACTCCGTATTATATTTTAGTACTAAAAAAAATTATTTAATTATACTTTGTATGTATAAAAAATGTCATTTTTTAACAATTTCATAAAAATATATTTCATCATTGTAAAATACACTTCGCGTATTTTATACACACACACACATATTGGCACACATATTTTCTAATGATGTATCTTTATTTAATAAGTCCATCTTTTATTATAATATTTTATTAATTAAAACTATTTTCGTTAGTACTTCATTCAATAATGGCCATTAGTTTTGTATAAAAATTTTGTTTTTAAATAAACAGACAAATATACATTCCACCAGTTTAAAACATATTTTGTTTACATAATCAAATTATATCTATAAATATTTTTTTAACTTTATCGATGTTTTGAAAAAATAAGTTTCATATGATTTTTAAAAACAATAAATCATTTCTCTTCTACTACTTTTAAAAGAATACTTATAGAATCTTTAGTGCATGTACATTTAAAAAGATAGTCATTGACAACACTTTTAATGTTGTTGCAATATTGTGTGTTGCATTAGGCCAAATATCTTGTAGTGGCTATATTTAAAGTATAATATTTGAAAAAAGATATATATCTTAGAGTTAAAAAAATTCATCTAACACATATTATGTCACAATTAGAAAACTAAAATAAATAAAAATATATTTATAGAATGTCAAAAATTTAGAATATATACGAGCCCGTACGAAGCACGGGTTTAACACTAGTAATATTATAAATGTGAAAACAAGAGAAAGTTTATAGATAGAATTCGTTTACTACAAGAAAACATATAATCTGTATGGCACACCACATGTGTGTCGTATTTATAATCTGCACTACATTTAAAAGGTGCATGTCCATATATGCAATTTTAATTTAATCGTTTCATTAATCTTATTCAATGTTTAGTTAATAAACGTATATAATAAATACCGGAATAAAAAATATTTATTTGATTCAATTATGTGATCCAAATGTTATGCTCTGTGATATTTATTAGGGTAAGTTATTTCATTAATGGGCTATCCCTCCTTTGAGAAGTAGTAGTGTTAACGATCAAATTGAGACATTTATCGTGTTCCATTTGAAAATTAATAATTCATGCCCGTAATAGAAATCGTCCTAAATAGGACTTAAATATACGAAACAATACTAAATTCTATGTTTTTATTCACGAAATAGGATTTCGTATTGTGGTAATATGATGATAATGTGGCATTGTACATGTGCACAATACTATACTTTTTGAAAATGTACATGACAATTTTTGGTAATATAAACATATTTTAACTCGTATTTCGAGAATAAAAACATGCAAGTCTTATTTTGGTATATTTTCAATGTTTTACTTCTAATTCCTGTAAACCTGGTAAAGCCCCCACCCTGATTTGACTCAAATTTAGTCAACTCCTATAATTGCATCTCTCAAATTTAGTCAAGTTTGAAATCAAAATTTTTGACGAATCAACTAAAATGGGACAAGTGCAATATCATTATTCACACGGGAAGCTTGTTTTTTCGAGATAATATTTAAATTTTTTGATCATTTTTAAAGAATTTGTTCTAATTTTTTTTATGAACTTGTTCCTTCCCCGTAAACCCAAAGGCCTTTTATCTCACTCAATGGGCCATTGTTTCGAAACGCAAGCATCTCACTGATGCTAGGGGCACAAGGTCCAGGGATGATACTTAGGAAGAAGAGCACCTAACTTAATTACTAACGCCTAAAAGATACCCTAGAATTATTAATGAATAATTATTCGATTTATCAAATTTCTTTTGATTAAAATAAATTTTTGTTGGACTTTGGGTTGAAATAAAATATGTATTGATATCCAATATCACAATCTGGATAAGTCTCATAGAGATAAATCCAATATGTTGGCTTATTGTGTGATCTTGATTTGGAACCTAAGTACTGACTCAAATTAAAAAAAATGAAGTATAGATATATATATATATATATATATATATATATATATATATATATATATATACACACACACATATATAATGCAAAGGTATTATTAATATTAATATTTTCATTATTAAAGTAAATATTATTTATGTATATGATACTATCATTTCCATAAATAGTAATAAATGCATACATACATACATACATACATACATATATATATATATATAGACACACACACACACATACATACATATATACATATATATATATATATATATATATATATATATATATATATATAGGTATATATATATATACATTTTTTTATTAAAAACAAAAAATTTATTTCAAAAAGGTAAAAGAAAGGTACAGGGAGGGGAGGACTAGGCCAATGCCCCTCTAGAAATGCACGAAAAAAGAAAACTAAATGAGAAATGAAACGAGAGATAAACAAATGATCATTCAAATTATAAAACCCGGGTGTTGATCCAAAGCGAGGTTTCTGGGCATTATTTTCTTTGGTCTTTTCCCATCTGCCCCAATTAGGCCGACGGGTCCAACGTACCAAAAGGGCCCAGAGTAACTTTTGGTAGTGACGATTTTCTCCATTGTGGTTGATTTGTGGCTAGGCCAATATCTAGTGATCTCGCTCACCGTTCCAACTTCAAGGTTTGGATCGTAGCTTCTGGTTTTAATCGTCCTTGGTGCAGTTCCCCTCTTCCCCGCTTTTTTGCTGCGTCTGCTCTGGACATCTTGGAAGTTAGGCTCCTTCCTTTGGTTACTTGTCTCCGCTTCTTCAACGTAGGACCTGATTTCATAATGTTCACCATCCAACTCAAAAGACTGAAGAATTGGTCCAATAGTAGTTGAGTCATAACCTGCATAGTTAGTTATAGGTGGGGGAATATTTGTGGTATGTGTAGGATCAGAAATATTTTCATCATCTCCATTCATTGAAGGGGATAGTGTGCCATCCATCTCTTTCTCGAGGGAAAGAGTGTGTGCATCACTACCTTGATTTTGGGCTGGAAAATCATCCGTTGTAGCAGTTACAAACTCTTTAAAAAGGGGCGGGAATTCTTCTTCATACTATGTGCCTTCCAAATTTGTCTTAGGGGATAGTTTGTGTGCCTCACAGCTTTGTTCAGTCCCGAAATTAGGGTCGTTGTTAGTAGGATTTTTGTTGTTCTCCAAAGCATCCTCAAAAACCTGGATTTGTTCAATATCAACCAACACACCTTTGTTTTCAGCACTGTCAGTTGGCGCGGGAGCCTCAGCATCCCTACCATTATCAATGGTGGTTTCCAAAGCTTCAACACTTGCCTTATGTGTAGCTGTATCTATAGCAGATTGTTCCTCGTTTTCAGATTCAAAGGTTTCAGCTGCAGGAACTAATATCTGTTCCAAACCATTGGCATCAGATTTTGGGACAGATTGTACCAAGTGTGTTTCAACCTGGACAGATTGTACCAAGTATGTTTCGACCTGGAGAGATTGTACCAAGTTTGTTTCGGCCTGGGCAGAGGAGCAAGTTTCCATAACAGTGGTCTCCTCCTCTTTTGGACCATCATGATTCAGAGCATCATCTTGCTTATCCACCAGCTGCAACTTAGCTTGGAGCAACAACGGAGGGACGGCTACAGCAGGTGCTATATTCCCAGTCCCTGTTGTGTCCTTCACCACCCATCTAGAGGTTGTGGCCTTTTTGTAGTTTTTATGTCCAAAAGATTTACAGGAGGGGAAATATTCAGGAAGATCTTCATAAATGATTGGTTGGTGAAATGTAAGTTGGCCAAGATGGATCGAGACACCATTGGGCAGGTCTTTGCTAGTATCAACATCGACACAGATACGAGCAACAAATGGCCTTGACAGGCTTGCTGTATATATATTATATATACATATATGTATACACACACACACACACATATTTTATATATATATATATATATATATTATATATATATTATATATATATATATATATATATCTATGTGTGTGTAGAAATATTACCTCTATTATAATATTTGTTTATATTATTTTCATATATTATTTTTACCTGACATTATTATTTTCATATACTATATTATTATTTTATATATAATAGTAAACGCATTTATATAGAAATACCATTTATTTTCAACATTAAAGTAAAATATTCTTTTCATATATATACTACTCCCTCCGTCCCAATTTAAATCGCCTGTTTTGACTTTTGAGCATATTTAAGGAAAATAAAAAATAAAGTTGATTTTTCGAAATTGTTATTACTTTTTAGGAGGGGTGATAATAAATAAGAAGATAAGGTGAAGAAGAGTGACTTATTTTAGGGTAATATAGGTATTTTATTTTTAAAAGTTCACAAAAACAACTAACAGGCAACTTATTTTGGGACGTAGAAAAAGGCAAACAGGCAATTTAAAATGGGACAGAGGGAGTATTATATAATATCCGTAGACAACAATAAGAGCATATATATGGTAATGTTGACTCTATTATATTAGTTTTATTATATTATTACGGAGTATTATTATTTTCAAAATAATATTGTCACTATCATTATATTTTGGTTCCATTATAAAAATATATTTTTATTTCCATAAAAAAATTAAATCCATAATTATTTCCATAAATAATATAATGCACTAAACGCACACAACATTACCATAAAATTTTCCCACATAATACATTTAATGTATAATTATTTTCATAAATAATGCATTAAATGCACATAACATTCCTATGAAATTTTTCCATCCATTTTTTGGTCAACTATTCCCCTGTTTTTATATAAAGTATGGATAGTGGGCAAAATAATTTTCCTTAGAAATCCTTTTTTCTTTGGAAAATAATTTCTCTCCAACCAAACACACCCATTATTCACACACCCACTCTCAAATGCCTATAGAAAAGTTCATCCAAATTTGAGCCCAAGAAAGGCGTGACATTGGTTCTTTTAGTATCATTAGGTTGAAAAAAAAGTATAAATGGATACCACGTTTAATCGAATCAATAACAAAAAAGGAAGTGGCAACTCAAGAAGAGGCATACTGTCTTCTTCAAAAGGTTAGCCTATGTGCGCGGGCTTTTGATCCAAAAGCTTGGTGATCATATTCCCTCTATGGAAGTGGCAATGCAAACTCTTTGTATGGGAGGGAACCTTGTTCCGAGTAAGGTTTATGATTTGTTTAGGGTTAAGGCTAATCCCAAGCCTTGGATGTCCTTTATCTGGCATTCAACTATTCCCCCAAAGTGCTCCTTTACGATGTGGCTTGCACTTAGGAGGAGGTTGCCCACAAAAGCTAACTTGGAATTCTTGGGTTTACCCTTGGACTGTACTATGTGTGGTCAAGGCCTGGAGGATGTGGATCATCTGTTTTTTCAATGCTCTTTTTCAAGGCAGGTTTGGGCAGCTATTAAGTTATGGCTTGGAATAGAGGGACAGTTGGGGTCACTGGACAAGGCAATCAGATGGCTGAGAACCTTTCGTAGAGGTGGTGCGCTTTTGAAGAAGATGAGGAAACTGGCTTTGGCATGTACGGTATTCCACCTTTGGAAACAACGTAATGCAACTTGTTTTGAACAGGAACCTCTACGGGTTGAGGTTGTGATTTGTAAAATTAAAGTCATGGTCTACTCTATCATGGGTAGACTGTGGCCTTTGTACTCCTTTCCGTCTTGATCTTTATGTTTGCTGTGCTTTGTTGTTACTTGGGCTTGCGTGCTGATGTTTGTCCATACCTTGGTTTATGTTTGGTTGGTGTCTGTTTGTGTATTTTGGCCTGTGTGCTGTGGTTTCGGCTGTGCTATCGTGGTTGTATGACGAATTGGTGTTGTAGCCAATTTGCTCTAGGGTTTTGGCATTTCGCCTTTTTTGAGCTCGGGTATGCCCGTTCTATTTGTATATTCCTTTCTCATTCTATTTACATTTTTATCTAAAAATAACAAAAAAGGAAATAAATAATACTGTGAAGGAGACACTCGCAGAGTGCATTATGATTACACACCAACTAACCAATAATAGCTCCATAACAAGAAAATGTTCACCAACTCAAACTGGATGTACAATATCCTTGTAGAAGCGATTATATGATAGAATTTAAATTTAAAATATTGCATTCTGGGTACAATAATTACTCTGATAGAATTGCAATAAAAAGTATTGCATTCGAGTACAATAATTTTCAACTTCTCTCTACACTAGATTCTCCCTTTTTGCTAAGCGGTCATTAATTCTAACTTGCAATCAGGGAGAATATATTTTGACAAATGAGGAAAAAATTAATTACATATAAAAATGAAGAATGTGGGTGATATTTACACCATACTTTTTGATGTGGAGAAGTTAAGAAAAGAATGTATTGATAAAAATCACTATAGAATTTAAGAAAAAAAAATATTGCATATGATTCCCCAAAAAAAAAAAATCAAGGAAAATGCAAAATTTTATAACTCATATTCCTATCTTGTTCTGTTCTGACTCATCTTCCTTGCTCTATTCTGTATCAAAATACTACCTCCGTTCCAGTTCCAAGAGTACTCGTACAAATCAAAATGGACAAATTTTATTCACCAATTAAATAAAAACTATATTGGGTATGAGAAAACAAAAAAAATTCGTTAGGCTTATGGAAAATATAAGTTTTTTATACGCCATGCAAATTTAATGTAATTGACAATTAAAGTTTCATTTAGTTTGACTCATAAAAGTCAAACTTTGGACGAAAAACTCTTGGACGGATAGAGTAGCATTGAGATATATGTCTTACCAGTTAGGCTTCAGCATTGTATGTGTATCAGCTAAGGAGAAAGGTATATTAACTGCCACATGATACTACATTAGAAGATGCTCCCTCCCATACTCACGAACGATCACAGGCACACTCGTGGTGGGTATCTGTAGAAATAATAAAGAAAATTAAGCACACCAACGTGTCAATGCTAGGTTTATACATTTATGTTTTTCGTACACGTATTTTATTTTTAAGAAGTTTATACATGTATATTCTAATTAATTGTCCGTTTAACTGGATCTAACACACTTTTTTCATTATAATAGAAACATTAAATATGATGAAACATCTTTTCTTTTACTCAAATTGGACTCTTTTGTTTTGGAAGAGATGCAGTAGAGAATAGAAAAATGTCCATTTTGGAAATTTATTAGATTGCAAGTGGAAGCAGATATTCAAAGAGTGTGAATCATTACTTTGGAATAAAGAGAGACTAATTCATATATAGCCCTTACCATGCCATATTCCGTTATGATCATTGAGATGTAGTCCGAGGGAGTAGCATCATAACTGTCAAGAATCATTCCAAAGGAAAACGAAGTTTATTTTAAAGCGAACTGCAATCGAATTAAGCAGAGCAGAGCAATACAATATAAGTTTTAATCTTCTTCATGAGTGAGAAGAGAAAAAACTTACACTAAATTCAAAATCTGAAGATTTTCTATGCTTGTCCAATTCTTCAAAATATTGGCATCTGGTCTTCGACTGACCAGCGAAACTGCCTCCGGATTCCCTGTATGGTTTCAACATCTACATTAACTATCTTTTAAAAGCCCCTTAATAAACAATGCTCCCTCCGTCCATTAATTTCTTACCCACTTTTTTTTGGGCCATCCACAATTATTGGCAAAAAAAAAATTGATGAATGTGTCATTATACCCCTACTTTTCATCTACACTATTCACTTTATTACATTACACCAAGGGCAAACATGGAAAGTCTTTACATTTTTTTTACTTTTCTTAAACTTTGTGCCAAGTCAAAGCGGGAAAGAAATTATTGGACGGAGGGAGTAATGGGGAACTTAAAAAAGCAAATCTCCAGAGATCAATAAGGGGAGCCAATACCTAACTCATTGCAACAAATGGAATCAAGCATCACTCGCTGACTGAACTTATAAGCTTCACAACAAACCAGAACAGGAACACGGAGAGCATGAGCAACCATTGAAACACATGCACTCCCCACTTTTGAGTAGACAGTGCCATTGGATAATATAGATGCCGCCCCTAGGAAAACAATTGTGACCTCATGCATGACGTAAGAAACGGCACCAATGTGTGTGTACGTACAGTTGATCCCCTTCTTTAGCAGTCTTTGAAGTAGTGCTTGACCCTCCAGCATGGGACGAGAGTCTACTATAACAACATGAAACTGCTTTCCAATCTCATGAGCATATAAAATAATCATCTCAATGACAGATGATGAACTGTACATTAGTATAACATCGCCATCCTTGATTTTTGAAACTGCATGTCCAACTATTACTTTATCTGCCAGCACAATTTTCTCATTGATGAAACCATCAATGTCTGAAAGCAGATGTTCCTTCACTTCTGATTCAGATAGTGTCTGAGGTAACTTGGCTATACGACCCTTAATAAACTGAATGGCATTACCCATACTGAATGATAGTGGCCTGCATTCGTTAAGAAACGAAACATAGCCATTGATTTTCGCAAGTAAATCTCGAGCGATGAATGTTTTGTCCTGTGGAAGTGTGTAGTCAGTAATGGCGTCCCTAATTGCCTGAAGCATAGCAACACAGCGTGCATTACTCCCAGAAAGATCTCCAGCCAAAATTTGAAGCCCCACCTAGTAGAGCATATCGAAAAGTAAGTCAATACAAATTTAGTTTAACAATAAAATACTACATCTGTTCTCCAATTTTAAGGACACAGGAAACATTTATCAAAAAAATACCACCATAATCCCAACTCAGTAGGGGTTCTATGGGTCAAGAAGTAAGATATTTGATGTGTCATTTTGATTTAGTCCATTTATTTGCCTGAAGCTAAGATATTGTTAATATAATTACTATTATAGCTCCAGTGGTAATGCACATGGGAAAGTGGCACACGGGTTTTAAAAAGTGGAAATGAAATGTTGATGTTAAATTTAAGAAGTTAAAAATGAGTATAAATGTGAGCAGCATAAATAGCACTAAATATGGTCTGGGAAAAAATAGTTGGACAAACAAAAAGATAAAAAATGGACATAAGTAGTTGCACGAAGAGAGTAACAAATAATTTGGGTTCACACCCAAGATACAGAATGACACATGCCACCTAAAAGATGCCAGCGGGAACACAAGATTGACAACTTAATAGTAATGTTCCTTATCTATCTACAATTAATGAAGCAGTGAATGCAATATCGAGTACCAGCAGATTTATAAAGTTATGGCATTAAGCTATGTTGCAAAAACCACATGATCAGTATATTAGGCATACAAAAATAAAGTATTTCTAGATTAACAGATTCATTCAAATATTCTCAGATTATTTTAATTTTATGATAATACTCCCAGACAAAAAAAATTGCCATCGTATTTCCAGATATTACTACATTTTACAATATCATTCCCACGGTCATCAAATGGCCAAAATTTACATTATCAGCCTTTGTTTTAAAAAAATTATTTTAACAATAGCTTTATACTTGAGCAACAGACTTTAATGATTCAAGTTGCAGTTGGAAAGGTTATTTAGAGCATCATTATATGAGACTTATATTTGTAGGATTTTCAAAAGAAAAAAGGTTTACAACAACAACAACAACCCAGTTAAATCCCACAAGAGTAGGGTCTGGGGAGGGTGTGTGTACGCAGACCTTGCCCCTACTCGAAAGTAGAGAGGCTGTTTCCAAAGAGACCCCCGGCTCAACGTCGAAAGTTGCATTGCTTGACTAACTGCTACTTCATTAATTAAAGAAGCGCAGATAGTTTAGAGATCCATTTTGATTTATTCCATCACACCCCAAAGCCAAAAAATGGTGAAATTTTGGCTCCATCGGAGATGATGGAATAAAAGAAAAAAAGGTTTAAATTATTTAATTAGAGCATCCTTGTATATAAGTCACATTGATAGTGCTCTAAATAAGCTTTTAAATGCCACTTGAAGAAACCAAATCCGATGCTAGTAAATAGCTATGGTTAAACAATAAAAAAATTAAAAAATACTGTAAAACTTACCCTCGCCAGAAGTGATAATGTACAATGTGATGATTAGTGAGAGCATCAACATTGACAATTATATTTGGGAGTGGATCAAAAATCAAAATATTATGGGAGTATTTTATGAATTTTTCAAAAAATTAAACAAGTTCAAACAGGTACAGACTTGCAGCACAAGAATTCAACGATGATATGATTCTATCCTCCAACGGAGAGAGAAGTGTGGCCAGTACCCTGTATATAGCAGGATGCATTGACTCAAGTTGGAAGAATTTTGACAGAAGATCAGGGAGTTGAGTTCCATGTTCATACTGAGGCAGATGCTGAAACATTTCTACTCTATTTCTAGATTCTGTCTGTTTAAGTAGTGCACGCTTTTTGGCCTTTTCTACACGATTCTTATCATCAAACTGCATGCGTGGGGCTGGAATATCATTTTTCCTATTTTTCTCCAGTGCTTGGTTACTTCTTTTCTTCTCCAGAGCTGATGTGGTTAACATTGGGTTGCTATCTTTATTGTGTAAAGTTGGCTTCGCAACTTGGGGAGCTTTTGCACATGCTGAAGCGGATGATCCCATAGCAGGTTTATTCCCAGCAGCTGATATAAACAACCACAAAGAAGAAAGAATCCAGGGGATCTGTTAAGCACAACTAGAACTAGCAGCCAATGTCAATGGAGCTAAAAAGGCTCATAATTGACTATGCTTTAGCTTCGGGTATAAAATGAACTAAATTAAAATGGCACATTCGACTTCCTTTGTTTCTTACTTTCTATGGGATTTTAGGTAGTAAATGTAACATTGTGTGAAAGGCCTAACAGAAACTGCCTATGCTTTCCTGAGAGTAAAGCAGCAAACTAGGTTTTGTTGTTTTTATGTGCAACTATCAGACATGTACAGGAAGTCTGCAGCCTAAGAGGCCATACCATTTGATGTTATGGCTAATGAGGAGACCATGGCATTTTTCAAGTGCCTAGTCATAGTCAGATATATAAAATTACATGCCTGCCAAGCTTCAAGTAAATATCACATGTGGCAGCATTCTACCGCAGTTAAAGAAAGAACTGAACCTTTTGAGGCAGCTTTAGCAGCTCTTTGTTCTTCCTGCAGAGCTCGCCTTTCTGCTTTTGTAGTTTTCTCTTTTAGCTGTTTTGACCTTGGTTGCACTTGCTTTGGCTTCTCCATTGCTTGTTGTTTAGTGTTACCTGTATTTCACAGTGAATAGATTTATGATAGCTTGTACCCAAAAAAAAAACTTGATCTATGTACTCTATCAAAATGTTAAGAATTCCAAATGTGCACGAACAATATGGTGAAACAAAGCCCACCACACTTGGTGCACCCTAAACGATGCGGGCTCTAGTTATTACAAATAATCATCACAATTGTATTATTCAATTACGGTAAACATTCATTGTCTTTGAAATTTGTACTTTTTATGCATTATTCATAACGCAGCAAGTAAATATTAATCTAGATTCTGACTCATATCACCCAGAATTACCAAAAGTTTGTACAGCATTGAATTCAGGTTCTCAATTACAAATACAAAATCTGAACGACTAAATACAACTCAACTTCTGCCAGGTATGATAAATAAAATAAGCCAATACTAGCTCCCCTAGCAAAATACTCCGTAATAGAATTATGTGGCTCATACTCAGTATATATTTTCTAAAATATTAGGAAGCATTTAAAAGAAACCACACAAACGTCACAGATATAAGCTAGACAGGGAAATCAATATACCATTTTCAGGTGCTCCACGTCTCTTCAAAGAGCCAACCAAATTGTTCGCTGCAGCGGCCTGTTCAGGCTCGGCAGCATACAAATCCGAGATCGACTTCTTCGAATCGTCTCTGAGAATCCAATTCTCGGAGTCCACCGAGAAGTCACCGTCTATAAGGCCGACTCTGCTAGACTTCGGCGAACATCCACGCTCAGCATCGGAAGCATCGTCGCTCCCGACAACTAACTGCTCCTCGTCTTCTCTATCCTCCTTCAATATCCGCAGAGAAGCCGCGGTGGGAATCGGAAGGCCAACCGGGCGGGAGGCGGCATGGGAGGCATGGAGAATGCGAGGAGGAATAATTGTCACCGAAGAAAGAGCGCTCCCGGCGGACTCGGCCATTGACGGTGGTCGACGGGATCAGAATGGTGTAGCTCTGCAGCCTACCCAGCGAGGGTTTTAGACGTTTGGTCGGTGAACGTGGAAAGTGTGAACGACGACAGGCGTGCACCCTAATGCCAATTTAATTAGAAAAATGGTGGGGTACACCAAAAAGGTGTGTATCTCAAATATCCCCACCCCCTCCTTGTCCACAATAATTGGCAAAAAATTTAAAAAAATATAAAAAAATAAAAAGTAAATAAAAATATATGGTAGAGAAGCATGTGGTGTATAATTGGGGTACACTTTTGGTGTACCCGGCGATCCCTTGGGTGCACCTTCTGAAAAGGATGTTTTAAAACACTCTCTACTTGTACCAATTATTAATTGACATGTGTACACAAATGCCACCTCATTTAAGTATCATCAAGTTAATGTTTTTTTGCAACTAAGTCCCAGGGATTATCTAAGCACCTCTAAGAATTGCTCTCAACCGGAAGAAATTGTTCTCAATCCGACGGAATCACCTTCTCTCTTCGTTTAGATCTTGGACAACAAAAAATACTCCATACTGATGGGCCGAAACCCAGTGGGCGGCCCAACTGAACCATTTACACCACTTCGGGTCAGACACTCGGAAAATACCCAGGTCTGGGCCGGCCCATGGAGCCAGGCCCGGTTGACTTTAGACCAAACGTAGCTGGCAGAGCCGGTTACGGAGAAGGAGACGGAGCAAATTGGCCGTTACAGAGCCGGAAAAAGGGGATCGCGCCCTTAACGGGATAGACTCCATCGATTATGCGTTACCCTTAAGTGCATGTAGCTCAGGTATAAATAGATGAGACCCAAAAGGAGGAAATTCAAGCTAGATCAAGCTAATAATACATACCCAATTCTCGAATTCTCGTTCTGAATTTTGTTCTTACGATCCGCTTCGTGAATCGGATCATTTGGTGGATTTATTGTCCATCAAATTGGTGCTCTC